CTACCGCACATCGGTGTGACGTCATTAGGCTGTGCATATTTCCCAAGTGTCCGTGATCCTGTTTGCATATAAATGGAATCAAGAAGGCATTTGTAAATGATATGGGACAGGAAAGAGCACATTCATGATCTATCTGTCTGTCTGTTCACGTATCCACAATTCCGTCCCCCTTCACGCTCGTAGCTTTGTCTTTTCCTGGGAGTCTAGCTGAAAGACGTGGGGCACTGGGGGGGGGGGAGTTTTTCTTTAGGCCGAGCAATCACTTACTTTGGTAACATCAAACATTAGAAAGTATATATGATAGCGTTTGGTGTTGGGAAACAGTCTATAGATGGTTTTATTCAATGTAATAAACATAAAAAAACATACACACAAAAATGAAAATATCCTGAAGCACCTAATATAAAATCAAGTGAAAATATAGATGTTTATTGCTTGTTTGTTGCTATAGTGTCACGAGCTCCTAGCCAACTGTCTGATAAACTCAGCAGTTGCCTCGGAGTAAGTTTTGTTTTATTGTCTAGTAATGTTTGGTAGGCTTAGAAATTATGATTTTCGGTGTTTCGTCATTACTTTATTTTTTTTCCATAATCATAAATAATAATAATAAAAGAATAATTTTCACGTAAACTATAAAGCACAATATGTAATTGAGTGGCGGGAATCAAGGTCTACCTACGACGGTTGTTTGCCGAGAAGAGGTGGTGGTTTACGGTTTACTTCTTGAAGAGTTTTGGGTGTAGCGTCGTTGTAGTCATGGTGACGAAGTACGAACTAAGGCGAAGAGTTTATAGACTTTGGAAAGGCTGCCTCACTACGGGGGGGTCTGCTTCAAAGGGCTTGCTTTTCACGTCCGCGCAGGGGGCTACATGGTCATCCTTAGGTGAGGGCACTGAGCGAAGATATCGACGATTACGCCACCAAAATATCTCACTAGGAAGGCGTAGTTGGTAGCCTCTGGATTTTCTGCAGATTGTGAATGCCCCAATTTTGTCCCAGCGATGTGATGTCGGGTCTTGAATTCTGACAAGGTATCCAATACTTAGGTGGCAAGGGGAGGGCATATGGATATATGTATATATATATACATATATGTATATATATATATATATATATATATATATATATATATCGTTGTAGGTTTTCCATATAGGCGTCGAACAATCAAAACGAAGAAGTAGACTAATATGGCCCTGAATAATTTCATGTTCATTTGCAGACGTTTCAGAGATCAATCCTATCTCTATCATCAGTGCTGTAATAATGAACCCAAAATAGCGTGCATTAGCCAACAGAACGAAATTGATTAAAGAGGTTCTCTAAATTCGAACAACAATAATATCAATAATCACAACAAAATGTGAGTTTTAAAAAAAATAAAAAATAAATAATACAGATATATTAGACAAACGAGTATATATAGAAAAAAATCATGAGGTCTAGACGGGAGGAGTGAGAGGATAGAATATTGAAATCTGTGTAAAGATATATAGATATATGTATATATGTATGTATATATATATATATATATATATATATATATATATATATATATATATATATATATATATATATATATATATATATATATATATATATATATATATATATTTGTGTTTATCTGTGAAACAGGCTATGGCTACCTCGAGGCAATGATTAGTAGGACAGTGATGATAGTATATCTCTTGACGCTTAACTGCTGAAGAGTACACACAAGTGAATGAAGACAATACGCTAATTTAGGAGGTCCGGATACTTTTGGTGTTCTTGAAACAGTGACTTCTAGAGATGTTGAGCTAATGGTTTTCACAAATCATGCTTATGTGCACGCCATATTGTGTGTGTGTGTGTGTGCGTGTGTCTATATATATAAAGATAGATATAGATATATAGATATAGATAGACACACACATATATATATTTATATATATATATGTCTGTGTGTGTGTGTGTGTTTATGTATGTATATATGTATATATATATGTATATATATATATATATATATATATATATATATATATATATATTCATATGAATATACATATATATCGATACATACATGCATATTCATGAAATGGAATGATCTTCGGGCTGATAAGCCGTGGCACCCCAATATTTGGGATGTAATCAGGAACCATAGAATAAGCAAAGGTCCGCAAGTTTTTTCTTTGCTCGCAGTTCCATCTCACTAGGAATGCTGTCTCTGCCGTTTGTTCTGTTAAACTTCCGCCAGACATATTCTGCATCTGCCATGAATTACTAGTTGCACAGGTAAACGCCTTCTGCAGAAACCACTGCAAACCTGGCACGGGAAGCTCATAGGGTACACTACACACACTATATATATATATATGTGTGTGTGTGTGTGCGTGTGCGTGCGTGTGTGTGTGTGTTTTTTTTAATGAGTCATCTTTCTCTCATCATACTTATTTTACCACTAACATCCTTATAAACATTTCTAAATAACCCCTTACCCCCACACAAACTACTGGAAGGGAGGATGAATGTAAGAGTGAGACCAATACTCGCCTTCACAAATAAACCAACAGGGATGCTAGGAAAGAAATATTATAACCAGCGCAGACTGTGAGATAAGGAATGCACATGCGTAAAGGTCGAGGCGAAAGTCACGTCGCTTGTGCTTGTGCAGGAACTTGCCACATGAGCTTCAGGCAAGGAAGAGGGAAGAGAGGGACCGAGGCGCTGAAGTCGCACTGCTGAAGACACAGGGATCGCCCGACATGGCGGCCACAGTGAGTTGTTTTGTGGTTCATTTCAGTTTTTGATGTCTCTCATATATATAAACATGTGTATATATATGTGTGTGTGTGTGTTTGTATATATATATGCATGTATGTAATTATATATGAAAAAAAATATATATATACATATATAATATATACATAAATATATATATATATATATATATATATATATATATATATATATATATATACATGATATATATATATATATATATATATATATATATATATATATATATATTTGCATATATATACATATATAATATATATATAATATATATATATGTATATATATTTATTGGCCTTGGTGTGGTGATATAAGCAATGTGACCAAAGAGAGTTCATTCTTGTTATTCATCACTGAAGGATCCTCCAGAACTACAAAGTCTTCCGGAGCTCTGAGTTATCCAGAACAGTTATAAATTTGTCATGGCTACCTTAGTCCGTCCTGTGGCCGCCCCAGGGTGTTTTACCTAGACAGCCTGAGAAAGCGAGAGTGTTCTAAGCTATACCATGATTACCTCCAATCAAGTGACTGTGCTTGAAAACACAGTAGACCCTTTAACCAATGTGAAACACTTTCAATTGTGAAACACTCAGTAACCCAAGGGTGACGATCCAGGAATAAAATAGACCTTTATCGTAGGTGTTCTACGACTCAAATGACTGGAGAGTGAGAGTTGCAACAAGTGCATTTCCTAATTTGTGAACAACGAAAACTGGATCTCCTCGCAAGTGGTTTGCTCAACAGATAGCCAGATCTTGATGGGTTGCAAGTAAGTTGGGTTGAGTATTTTGAGCGGTTAGATCAGCTTGAGCCACCAACCGTTAGCATGGACGTGGGTAGTGTTTTGGCCCTAGTATTGATCTCATCATTATTATACCGAGTGATATGCACCTTAGAATGAAAATTGAAATGAGCATGTGACCCCTATACATGGTCATGTGCTTCCCCTGGTGTCTGCGTTGCTTGTAATTGATATTTTAATCTAAGAGAATAGCTACCACTATGTGTTGATTATGTATGAATCAACATTCGCATCCACACCTGCATGTATGCGAACATGTCAGATCTCATCTGCACCCACAAACCTCAATAGGCCTATTATCTGCATTTTCATCCACATCCACAATTTTGCATCCTTGGATTTACGAAATCTGAGACCTGATACATCACTAGCTCATGGTGAGGACATTGAAATCCTCCAGAGCTTTACAGATCTGTATAGTGCAAAAAAGTAACTGACGGATTGGCCCGGCCCGGCTTGATCTCTGACTAGGAGTATTTGGAGATGCTGCTAGCTGTACAGGAAGACCGAGGTAGGATCAATAACATCTTGGTTTTGTTATATATCAGAGAGTGCCATGTGTTCTGGAGTCATGTCTTTATACATTTTACAGCAGGCCTTTGTTCTGGATTCGTTGGTAGGTCCATTTGTCCAACTAGTAACTGTAATTTCAAAAACATATTAAAACTTGTTGCTTTTACTTGGAATCGCCTACTGAGGTTGGCTGCTAGCTCGATTCCTAAAGCTCATAATGATGTCTCTTCTTGAGATAATCCTAGACGAGGCCTGTGGGGTGAGTTTATGAAAACCATGGCTTATGTAAATCGGTCAAAGATATATGAATGTTAAGATGGTCTAAGCCCCTGCTGTTTGGAAGCAAAGAGGGGTTACATCCATACACACTTCATTTGACTGATACACACACACTGTTCACACGCACACATTCACATCTCAGAGCATATGAACTGAAGAGTGAAATTTATTTTTATTTTCTAGATTCTGTGTTTCATACTATATATATTTTAACTTCAGGTACAGATTTGTAATAAAACAACAGTGGTTGAAATAAGTGATTTATTTATAGTATCTCATCTAAATCTCGATTCGGAATAACCTTACATCGGTCTGTTGCTTCTTTTCTCTTGAAGATGTATACAGAGATGACCATTACTTTCAACAGAATTAAACAATGTGTACTTCTTTACTTTTTTTCTTTGATCGTTCTTTTCCTTTTATTTCGTTTGGGGATGAATTGCTTTACCATTGCATAACGTCAACCATGAACTTGCAAGGGTTAATCAGGTGCCATTGTTCAAAAGAGGAAAAGTCTTTCTTTGATCACTGTACCCGACTTGTCTTCCTTACTTTGAATTTCATCGAGAACTCTCACAAAGACCACTCACATAAATTGCAAGAACCTTTCACTTTGTAAGAAACTTTCAATACT